CCTCCGTCATTGTACCACTACGTACCACACATCGTCCCTTCACAGCGTCTATGATACCCCACCCTTCTTATTCGGTACCGACGTAGAGACCTACCCCAATACATACCACACTCGATTGTACATACATCACTCCAACCATAGACAATGTCATCCTCTACCCGTCCAAAACCGTCGCGCAAAAGTTCCAGCCAACATAGGACCACGCTGTCGCTGCAGAGAACCGAGGTCTCTATACACGTCTATGACCTGTTACCGCCCGGCAAGGTCGCAACCGTACTGTGGGCAATCGGCAGCTCGCTCCTTCACACAGGTGTTGTTATTGGCGACAGGGAATATGCATATGGCGGACATGACCGGCGGGACCTGACAGGCGTGTACTGGACGAAGCCTGGGCAAGAACCCCCGGGCGGCACGTTCAAGCAGGCGATTCTACATGGCTTCTCTTTCCGACCTGAGGAAGAACTAGAGGCTATCATACAAGAGGTATGCCAGGACGTTTGTATTCGGGAAACTAGCTAACATGTTACAGGCCTCACACGAGTTCCAAGGAACATCGTACAACCTCCTCACGAAGAACTGCAACCACTTCACGTCCTACCTCTGCGAGAGGCTCACGGGTCGCCCAGCTCCAAGCTATCTAAACCGTGCCGCTAGCATCGGCGTCGCTCTACCATGCGTTGTACCACGGGAATGGATAGCGCCACCGGATTATGATACTGCTGATGGAGAGTTGCTTGACGAAGAGTTCGAAGACGAAGGAGCGTCGATGCTACGTCATGATCGAGAACGAGAACGCCATCGGACAACTGAGGAAGCAAGGGGCTGGGAAAACGCGGGCTATTCTGCTGGAAGTAGTCGTGGTGATCAAGGAAGCGCAAGAGGGCCTATTAGGTATGAGGCTGGAAATCTTGCACCCAGGCTTGTCAACATCGCGGAAACGGATTCTAGTGGTCGGACTATTCCACCCGCTGAAAGGGCACCACTGCCGAAAAATCTGACATGACTCTTGAATTGGTCTGATATGCCCTGGCCACTATACACTGCTCTTGTGATGCATGCCCAAGTGCTCATTGCCTCTACCCATGACGCCTGGTGAACCCCACTATCATCGTACACTTCGTCTGATTTCCATCCCCACGTGCTCGACAAGCAGTCTCTAACCCAGTCTCCTCGGCTTCTTGCTCCTTGTACCACCAAACTTCAACCTCGTCGAATCTGCCAGCTTCACAATCAGCGGCCGTATCCTCTTTCCCTCAGCACCCAATATCGCCTTTGTGACTGCCTCCCTGCCTGCGCCAAACCCTCTGTATATCAACTCCAACTTCTGAATCTGCGGCAGCAAGCCCTTGTCCTGGATGCGGTTCATGAGGAAGGCGGCCAATTGATAGGCTGCATCGTATGTTCCGCGCCCCGCTTTCCTGAAGCCGATGTTTCCGCAAGATACCGAGATCAGTGGGTTTCGGTTTGGCTGTGTCAGACACAAGTGTGTGTTGTGCTTGGTGGCGTAAACGTGGAGTTTGTGTTTGTCGTCTTCGTCCCATTCGCGCGGCGCGAGGTTCTTGAAAGAAGCGTCGTTTGGGTTTTGGCCGGGTATAAAATTGTATGGATTGGGGGCTGCGCCACTGAAGTTCTCATCTACATTGCTGAGCAGCTGGTCGAGACTCTTCTCAGGCCTCTTGCGGAAGGAGGGAGGAGTTGCAGCGAGGACTCGTGTGCTGTGCGAAAACGGTCGCAGGGGTTGCGTGTGTCGACATGATGAGCGAATTGAGCATGTGAGGGATCGAAACGTCTGTAGAGTTGTGTTGCTGGCCATGTTGAAGGCGGTAGATGCCCCGATTGAGGTTCGGGGATGCAGCGATTTGCTAGAAAGTCGCAGAAGGTTGCGAGTCTGGCTTGGCATTCGGAAAAAGATGGCGATGCTTCTCACCCACCTTCGCCGCGCCCACCTTCCAACGCTCACTGCTTGGGCCGGTCCTACCTCAATTTGATACCCAGATCCAATTGCGTGCAAGTCCAGAGCATGAGACCCCAGACAGCAAGCACATTTGCCGCCACTGCGCGATGGAGCATACAACCCGCCGCTGCTACGCCTGCAAGCGCATACGGAAGAGCTGCATCGTATAGACGGATATCAACACTACCAAGAACATCGCAAGTCTCCTCCACACGCACGTCACTACCTTCCACATCCACACCCTCCTCCCAACGCTTCCTCCGCAGCGAATTCTTGCCCCAAGATGTCCTCTTCCGCACGTCATCCGCATACGCCCGCCACTTCTCTTCTCGGCCCGCCCTGTACGAGCAAGCGCAAAAGCAAAAAGACGTAAAGGACCAAGAGCCTGACCCCACCAAATCAACAGCCTCCCAGGGTAGCACCTCAGAGCAGGCTGCAGGCGACCAGGCAAAGAAAGAGGGCGAGGAAGCCAAGGAGAAGAAGGAGAAGAAGGACGGAGAGGAAGAAGCTGGTGAACAGAAGGAGGGCGAAGAGGGCCAGAAGAAAGAGAAGAAGGATGCGCCCCCACCTCCACCCCACGGCGACAAGACACCATGGCAGGTCTTCACCGAGACCTTGAAGCAAGAGTTCCAGGCCTCGAAAGACTGGAACGAGGGTACAAAGCAGTTGGGTGGTGCGCTGCACGACTTCCAGCAGAACCCAAACGTCCAGAAGGCTGGCCAGATCTCTGAAGCTGCCAAGACAAAGACCACAGAGGCATTGAAGGCGACGGCATCAGCTGTTGGTCACGGTGCGGCGTGGACATGGGACACTATGCCCGTCAAGGGCGTTCGTGCTGCTGCGAGGGTCACTGGTACCGGACTTGAATACGCAACTCGGCCAGTCCGACAGACCAAGGCCTTCCAAGCTGTGAAGGAAACAATCGACGATGGCAGCTCGTCAAGATACGGCGGTTGGGTCGAGAAGGAAGAGCGCAGGAAGAGGCGAGAGCTGCGCGAACTCAACGAACTCCAGCGGACTGGCGGTAAACCCCTGGGCCCAATGGAGGAGGACCCAAAGTAAGGCATCTCTGAGAATATGAGGACCTTTGACTAACAAGTAGCAGTGCTGGCACAAACGTTACCCTTCACAAAGACGCCAAGTACAAGGAAGTCTGGAGAGAATGGAAGGACAACTCCAAGCTTGCCCAAGGCTTCTTCAACATGAAGACCGTCTACAGGGAGTCCGACAACGCCATCATCGAGACCGCTCGCAGTATCTCCGACCGCATCACCGGCTTCTTCGCCGAAAACGAGACGGCCATGGTCATCAAGCGATTCAGAGAAATGGACCCCAACTTCCAAATGGAGCCCTTCCTGACCGAGATGCGCGAATACATACTCCCAGAAGTCCTGGACGCATACGTCAAGGGCGACATTGCCGTCTTGAAGGAGTGGCTATCAGCAGCGCAATACTCAGTATACGCAGCGCTGATGCAACAATACCAGGCCGCTGGCCTCAAGTCTGACGGAAAGATTGTCGACATTCGTGGCGTCGACGTCCTGAACGCGAAACTGCTGGAGCCAGGAGAGATCCCCGTCTTCATCCTTACCTGCAGAACACAAGAAGTGCACGTCTACCGCAACGCCAAGTCCGGAGAACTGGCCTCCGGCATGGACGACAAGGTCCAGCAAGTCACATACGCCATTGGTGTCACCAGGATACCAGAAGACGTCAACAACCCCGAGACACGAGGATGGAGATTGATCGAGCTGCAGAAGAGTGCCAGGGATTACTACTGAGCGATTCGCTACTAATCTCTTTTTTATTCCATCTGCGTCCCACCCTGTACGATTACACTACCTTCTCACCGCATCTTAATGTTGGTGGTTATGTTCTTGCTGCATCTTTGGCGTCCAAAAAGACAGTTGTTGCTCTGTTTTTGTAGTCCTTGGCCTCTATACCGAGGTTTTATGTTTCGTCACCTGGGTCATGGAAGTGGATAGACGGACGCCGTAGATGAGTATGGCGTTCTACATGACGCACTTCTCTACTCTGTATGTATAGTATGATGACTTGATGGATTGGTGGAGTGGAAATACCACGTGTAAAGCAAGTGGAACTAGTTTCCAAGGACAGAACTGAGATAATCAAATCTCAAGTCACACATGATACATCGTCTCGAGCTATTTTCATCGTGATGTACAGTTCCTGATGTACATTGGGAGGAGTTTTGAGTCGACAGCATACATGGGCGGGCATCGACGACAACCCGTTCGACATAAAGGGGCACCTACGCCATAAGCTAATTCATTATCATCGGCCGAAGTACGCACCAAGAGATGCAAACACACTCCATGACAAAACCCATGAATAGTACACCACCTTGGCGACCATTATCCCAAATTTCCCTCGCCCTTGCAGCCAACAACATCCCACCCTCTGAACCTCGGCACTTCCTATTCCGCAGCGTCCGAGCTCAGGGACCGAACGCGCGCGCATACGCGGAACCTCCGACTGTACTACCAAACCGTGCTCACCGCCGACTTACCCTCTAGCCTAGCCGAAAGAAAAAAAGTCTTTGCTTCAAAGTCTAGGCGTCTGACTACTACGTAAGTATGATATCCGCAAGGTCTGCCTTATCTGGGCATGTGGGTCGTAGCAGAGTGTTAGGTTTCGGGGCATACAGAGCATTGGCCCCGCTGCGCGAAGTCCGCCCGGGTTGTATAAAAGGGCAGAGAGGGCCTGCTGGGGGTGGGTTAGCAGATAGGATACGGATTGTTAGGTGGACGAGTAGTGTTTGTAAGTTTTCATTCCAATTCCTGTCTGGATTGACTTCCATGTCCTATAGTTATGGAAGACTCGAGAAAGAAGAATTTAGTAAACTAACATTTCCATAGCAGCAGAACAATCGCAAACCTCACAACACACATCACCACCACCACCGCCACCACCCAATTCCTCATCCCAGCCCCCCAAACGACCACTCTATATCCGCATTCCCATCGCCCTCGCTCTCACCCTCCTCACTCTCACCAGCGGCTTCGTAATCGCCGGTTTCCCCGCCATGGCTTCCCTCCAAGACCTCGCGAACCCGCCCACCGATGCCGAAACACTCGAACTCTTCACGCCCAGCACAGAAGCCATTGCCGAGATAGAACGAAGCATATTCGACCATCCCCTCACGAAGTCGTTATTGGAAGACCCCAAATACATTGCGTCAAGGCCGCATCTCAAGATACCAGAGGGACTGAGAGCGCAGAACCTGACGGGAGGCACACTCCTCGGCCCCGACAAAATCGCCGTTCCCCCAATCCAATTCAGCACAGCCGACGGCTCTGAATTCGTATCACTGCAGTACTTGGGAGAAGCGCTGTGCGGCCACCCTGGAATCGTCCACGGCGGCCTACTAGCCACACTCCTCGACGAAGGACTAGCACGATGCTGTTTCCCCGCTTTGCCAAATAAAGTGGGTGTAACGGCGAGTTTGAAGATCGATTACAAGGCGCCGTGTATGGCGGGGCAGATTGTGGTTCTACGGGCGGAAACGACAAAGGTTGAGGGCAGGAAGGCGTGGGTTAAGGGACGGTTGATGACGCTGGGGAGTGAGGAGAAGGAGGGTGTTGTGCTTACGGAGGCGGAGGCGCTGTTTATTGAGCCGAGGCAGGCGGCGCAGATGAAGAGGGTTGTTAATTAGTGGGTGTGTTTTCGAGGCGTTATGTGAGCTGGGACGGTTGGTGGTTTGTGGAGCGATAGACTTTTAGACTTTGCACATGGGAAGGTGTTTGTAGAGAAGGGTGTGTGAGATTGCATCGTTCAGATATCTCTCGGGTCTCTCGGGCGACATCTGAACGATGCCATCTCACACGCTCTCCTCTACGAATACCTGTTTTTGATGCTTGGTCAAGATGTAATGATAAGGGCATGGCAGCCAGTTTGCGTCTCGTGTACATGTCCATGTGAAGGTCCAGGGCGAACGACGTTGGATGGGCTTACCATACAAGCTGACTGTACACTTGACCACTGGAACCAGACATATCACTTAGGATTTAGTTCAAGCATCAACACGTTTCCTTCACAAATGCAAATATCATATGCAGACGAGATGATTTGGTACGACACTCGCTTCTTTCATTAAAGTATTAACGTCCGATCCAATCCACCATTTCAGCCACCACGTCAACAATAGACGTTTCCCTCTTACTAGCAACCCAGCACATCCAGGGTCAAGCCAGTCCAACTTCCATCCATCGATCTCTCCCTCCAACCCAACTTCCCCACTCGACAAGCGAGCTACACACAACAAGAGGAGACCAAGACAGTGAGGAGATCTTTCCAACCATCTTGCCCGACGACGCCATTTCAAAAAAGCAAAAACATATCCAGACCCGTAGATCTGAGACAACAACGAACAACAACAACAATAACAACGATGATCATCATCAACAAGATACTGTGGGCATTTCCAAAGATAACATTTGGACACAGACCAAGTCGAAAAGTATGTTGTGGTGGAAAAAAAAAGAGATATGAGGGAAACGAGGTTTGGTGGGAAAAGAAAAGAGTGTATGAGAAAAGAAAGTTTGGGTTTGGGAGTGTGGGGTAAGAGGTGGCGTTCTATTTACAACTGAGACTCTTCTGTTTCGAGAGGAGAGAGTGGAGGAGGTGGTAGGTGGTGGTGGTCGAGGTAGTGGGTTGACGCGCTGTGATGAGGTTGGCGTCGGGTATCTGTAGCGACTGAATGCCAAAAGCTGACATCGGCTTTTGTGCGGCTAGCGTTGGTGAACAAGGGGGATTTGGAAAGAGACGCCCGGCGCTGATGAATGCTATGCTCGAGAAAGAAAGATCTGCTGTACAGGGTGGTGATGATGCGTTCGCTAAGTGATGCTGCTTTTCGAGAGAGAGGATGGAGGTGATGTGTATGGTCGAGGTAGAGACGGGTGGGAGCATGGGCTCATTATAGGCGTGACAAGGCTAAGTTCAAACTCGAGGACTTTATCTGCTTTGCCCGAGGTTCAGCCATGACATGTCTGATTGCTCCTTTCCGTTGCCTTGGTTGGGACCTGGGCCGGGGAAGAGGGTTGCTGAGCTCTCGTGTCCGACTTTGGGTGGTGGGTAGAAGGAGTTGAACTTAGGGCTTGGTAGCGCCGCCTCAGCCTTGCCTCCTTGTGCACCACCGGGACCACCTGGGAACACCGTTGCTGTGCTCTCGCGATCTTGTGGGAGACCGAGACGTGGTGGCACGGGGTACATCGAGCTGAACTTGCTCTTGGGCATCTCCTCTGTGGGTGCGGGTGGTGCGTTGCCTGATGGGAACATGGTGAACGTGCTATCGCGCATGTCGGGAACCGTGGATGGGTTGTCGCCTTGGCCTGGGTAGAAGGAGGAGAAGTTGCTCTTGGGGTAGAATGAATCGGTGCCGTCAGGGTAATACGAGCTAGCGCCATCGTACTTGTTAGAGTCGATGACCATGCTACCAGTGTACTGACTGCTCGTCCGTCGATCGTCGCCTACTGGAGTCCAGCTTTCTACGGGGTGGCGTAGGTAGTGATCACCGTCGTGGCTGAGAGCAGATACTGTGCTGGCATTTGAGTTGGCGCGAGCAAGCTCTGCTTGCATGGGCTGAACACCATGTGGAATGACACTGTTGGGGGTTCCAAGCGTTGGACTTCCACTGGCGACTCGGCTTAGACGCTGCCCGTCGTTGAACTTAGGGATCTCTAATGGAGCGATATGTTGTGATGGACGCGAGCTGTACATGCGCGAGTTGGTGTATTGTGACTGGCTGGCGGTACTTGTTCGGTCTGACGCGAAGGTAGAACGATCAGCAGGTGGTGCGCTTGCAAGGTTTGTAGCTTCGTTGTTGGCGAAGTACCGACTCCAGCCTGAGCTACGTGCTCTTGGTGCAGGCTTGTTCCGACTGGAGTTCTGACGAACCATGGGCTCGACAGGCTCTGGCTTGAGGTCAAACTTGGCAAGCTCGTAGGGCTCGTTGTAACCTTCAGAGTAGCCAAGCGGACTGCTCTTCTTCACAAGTCCTGCTGTGCTGGCGTCGCTCGCAACATTCTTCTTGTGGCCGTTGTTGCTACCACGTCCTTGGATGATGGCAAGCGATGTGACAGAGTCGTTGTTGTGTTTTGGCTGGTAAGTTACGACAGCTCCACCTGCCTCCTTCATGAAAGCAGCGCCGCGGTCCGCAAAGCTCATGCGGTCGTTCTTCTCGATGTAGCCTGGGTTCTGCTTGCTCTTGTTCTTCCTGTACTTGAGACAGAACAGAATGAGAATAAGGATAGCAGCGATGCCAAAAATCGTACCCAAGGTAGCGCCAAGTACAGTCAACATCTTTCCCTTATTGCTAGGGGGAGCCGGTGGTGGGCCGACTGCTTCTGTGGTGCTGGCGCTGGGCGTCGCTGATACGGACGCAGTCGCGGTCGGTGTCGATGATGCGCTTGAAGATGATATCGAGTTCACAAGGATCTCTTGTCCAGAGAACAGCGCTGTCGCGTTCATCCATGCGTTGTCCTTCGCGTCGAAGACAGCAATGGGCTCATCGGGGTTGCCACCACTTGCAACGGTGGTGCCATCCTCGCCTTGTGCTAACGAGTAACCGTTCCGTGTAACTGTAGGTGCAAGTGTGTCGTTGTACTTTGACCAGTCATCGATGACTACTCGCTTCACCTTGTCCCCACCGGCAAGAGTTCCCGGGGCTGCGGGCGAGCCGTCCTTGTTCACGAGGAGGATTCGTTCCACGGCGTTTGGTGTTACACTCATGTCGAACTTCTGCAGAGCGATCCTTCCGTCTTTGTTGGAGACTATTGAGCATTTGACAGCATCGGCGTTAACGATCGGTTGTTCAAGGCTGACGCCGAGATCTTTCCATCCTGATGCTTCGCTGAACTTCCATACCGCAGTGTTGGTAGCGCCACCACCGACTAATATCGCAGAGTTGGCGTCCGAGTTCATCAGCATGGGCTTTACGGAGAGTGGCGCGCCGGACGGCGGCATACTCGATACCGAGTAGGGCTCGACAGTGGACATTAGGAAGGATTCCGACGATGGGCCGTTGTCCCCCTCTGTCTGCGACCCTGCGTAGACGAGAATCTTCTGTGAGTCTTGAAGGTAGACCGCGTCATGGTTGACGCGATTTTGTGTGTTCCAGCTCTCAGACCGTTGCCAGTCCCACTTCTTCTTGGAGAATGTGTAGTGCATCAATCCGGGATAGTTCCACGTCGAAGCGGTCTCGTTGACGCGTCCTCCAACAATGAACAGCTTAGCAGCTGCGGCATCCCCCTTGGGCACTGCCTTCACGCATTGCGCTCCGGTAAGCGATATGTCCATAGGCAGCGCCTTCCATTCTGCCCCCTCTTCAAGCTTTAGCGATTGAAATCCAGATGGCGAATATACGTAAAGCGTGTTCTCGTAGATGATTGAGCAGTGCTCACTCAGCGGGTATACGGGCTTTGGGAGAGCCATGGTGATGTGGATCGTGTGTTAGATCCGGTAAGAATAGCGAACGTGATGTGAGTTTATCCTCGACTTGAGACGTAAAGCAATAGACTGATTATAATTCCACTCGACTTCGCATGACTAGGTGTAAGGTCCAAGGATTATTAGTTGTCCGAAGATGGAGGTTGGTCGACCGCGCGTTGGGAAGGCGAATGCGACGACTGAAGGATACAATTGGCTCGCAAAGACAATCGTAATCGTCTATAGTACGACAAAGCGTCAGTATGGTCCAGCAAGTAATAATCGTGTCGAACGTACTCGAATCCAAGACAGATGTCGAGACCGAGCGCGACAGTATGTTCGATCTGGCGAAGGACGACGATGGATTGATCCGACTAGTGCAAAGGGAGCGACGGGGCAACCCTCTCTCAAAGAGGCGAAGAGGTGTACGAAGGGTAGGGCGAAATGAGAGGCAGCACAGCTCAGCGGTGTGCGGGAGTCGAGATGGAAAGCCGTCTAGGTGAGGCTGTTCAGGCACACGGAGGCTGAAGCTGGGGAGAGACAGGTGAGCCTGAGCGAGAGGGAGACGTCCAACCGGCCGCTGAGAGGGTCCGTTCGCGCTCACGGTCGTGCAAGGGCAGCCATCGGGTGGGCTTGGGCATCTCCCAAATGGCCTAAGCGGCGACGGCACGAGCGAGGGTGTGACCATGCACACGAAGAGTGTCAGGGGCAAATGGTGAGACAAACCAATGACGTCCCGCCGCTGTCGTCGTTATTCGCCAGTGCCCCTGGCCTTAACCAAGAGTATTTAGCGTTTATTTTAGCCAAGAGACATGCTTGCAGCGAGGAAACAGCCCCAGTGTCGGAACATGTCCCTGGGTTTCTGTGCAACCGCAGCACCAGCAGAATCTGCACCGTGAGGATGTTGAGAGCTGCGGGGTCAACGGCGAACAGTACCCGGCGCCATCGAACGCTGCATTATTGCAGTCGAATACATGATGGCATCACTTCGCCCCGACTTTCGCTGCTGCGGTGCCGATCTTGTCGCTCGTTGTGCATCCCACGCTCTTTGCGCATGAAACTCCCAGGCTCGACACTGCAAGGGTTCTGATCATTTCCGCTCCTTCGACCACTTCACGAATCAAGACAGACCGCTCCTCTCCTTGCCTCTTTCTGCTCGCCTGTCGCACGCCATTCCACGATCGGATGATATGCTCCGGAGTAGAAAGACTTAAAAGAAGGTTCCGAGGACTCGACCTCAGTGCTCGCACTCTCGTATGCCTAAAAACGTGTGCAGCCGTATATGCATGCACGTAAAGTAGTACCTATCGATAGTGCGCGTTCGGGCGACGTCCCCGGAAGCTATGGCGAACAGTTTGGCGGCGCTGGGCAGACTGTGCACTTTGTGCGCTCTCCTAGCCTGCTGTGGGGTTTAGGCACGACAACACGCCGTTTGCTGGTATCGCCCATCGTTGTCACATTTGCATCACATCCAAGTGACGACGATTCGAGATTACTGACTGTGATGGCATGATGGCAATAAAAAGAATGGGAGGCGCGCGCTCAAGTGGGCGGCTTCGTGACGGGAGGGACACGAGAGACGCTCTAGCGGGCACCTGAAACAGAAACACGGCCCTTCTCATGGCGTGCATGCCCTGACTCAGCCCACAACACACCAGCTGCTAACCACGCGCCTCACAACGTAAGCGCATCACGATGGCCTCGACATCACGATCTATAGTTGTCTGTGAGATCACTAGCGACCACGGAGCCTTTTCGACGTTGCTAAAAACGCCCTGCATGCACCCAACCTTAACCGTGACCACATTGGTGGCACAGTGCACATCCTCATTAACCATTCGGATGCCTACCCCGCCAACTGCACTAGATTGGGACAGCAATATCCGGCTACGTACTAGGCACGCATAGGATGCAGTTGGCCGTCATCAATGTCATGCGAGCTGGAAACGACGTTCCTTCAACAGACTCATGAACTATCGGCAAAACAACTCTCTGGCAGCTACCGACACACCAGGCGATCCCGGTCCTCAACTGTCACGCAATTCGAGACGGATCTTCTCGGATCTTCAATCTTGCTTTGCCACGTTGCTAAGCCCCGAGACAAGTTGTCCAGACTTTTTGGTGGTGAGCCCATCCCAAGGTTTTGGGCTTGGAGAGACTTTACGGCTCGGAGCGTTTGAAGAAGACGGCTGGTCCTTACCCACATGTTCGCTATGCGAAACAATGCCTCCGCTGGCAACTCGCGACTCTCTGTTTCGCAGTGGTATGCCTGCTAATTAAGTCTTTGCCACGCAACTAAGCCAGCATGTTTCTTCATGCGTCCTTGGGTCTGGGGAAGCACGTGGCTGAGCATTGAAGCCCTCTATCCAGTGTCATGCGTGCGCAGATGCCCATGCATTGGAGATTGGACTGAACGGCATGTGAACGGCACTTGCAGCTGTCACAACCACCATGTCGGGCCATACAAAAAAGCATCGAGACGTTGTCACCCGAGGAGGAAAGAAGCAAAGGAGCGGACCGCAGCGTTCGATCTATACTCGGATACGTTTCATTGCTAAGTAACGGTTGCTTTTTCCAGATGAACTGTCGCGGAAAACCGTATTACCACTTTACGCCCACGGCACTTACACGCATCTAAAGCCGTGCTATTTGGAGACGCCGCGCTTACACTGTACATGTACTTGCGCCTGAAACATCTTTGCTATTCATGTGAGTGAGATATAAGATCGACGTTATGTCAGATTCGTGAGGCGTGAGATTCGCGTACCGTACCGCAGCGAAGGCTGATGTCACATGACGCCTAATCTACATTTATCTTTACTGATAGCAAGGATGATGCAAAAATCAGGCCTTGGAAGGGTCTTGAATAGCGAGGTAGAACATGTTCGGTGTGCGTTGCATACAAGAACAAAATACTTCCAATAGTGTTCGTGTCCAGATATAGAACACGAGATAAAGCATCAAGATCTCCAGCTCAGGGAACATCACTATCGATACGAACGTCCCGAGGTCAGTCGTATCGTGTATGCAGTATTCGTATCCAAACATGGGATGCCATAAACAGATATAACACATATGCCAATTGATATGCCTGTGTAGAATTCTGTCTTGCGTTCCAAGGGTTGTCATTTTGCTCAATTGCCTACATGCGCAGTTCACGAGAAAAATCACCAACCAACCACACCATGAGAACCGCACTCACTGACAAAGAATAACAAACCCATCTCTCGCCTAAAACAAGCTCTACCTTCTATAACTCACCCGTCGCCTACCCGAATGATAGATCCACTACCTGCATCTAGCCCTCAGCCCCCATTAGCACGAGATCTGGCACTTTCAAGGCAACATCCGATTCGCCAGCGCCTCTTACAGTAGTTCGCAAACCCAAACAAAGTGTCCCATAGTATCTTATCGATTAGTTATCGTTGGCGTTGGGCAGCTTTTGCATCCATGTGCAGTAGGTACACCACAGTTGTGGCGATGTGCAGTAGCCGAAACAGCAGTTTACATGTACGAGCAAAATGTGACGAACGCCACCATTTGTTTTCCGGAACGCTAAGCGTGTAGGTCGATGCATGAAGGAACCAGTGGAGATGCCGCGGTGGAGATAAGATAGGTTGAGCTCTGCAAAGAAAATGCGATAGAGGTGTGGGTTACTTCGGAGTCAAGGGTGATAAATCGTATTGCTACGTAACGGCTTTTGAAGCGTAGAAGTTGCTTCTACAGGGTCACTACAAAACCAATTGGTAGGTATGATGGGAGAATTGATGAGATCCGAGAACCAGGAATCGGGATCTCTAATATGCTAAGCCCGTAGTTGTGGCTACACAAGAGATCATGACCGCCCTGAATGCGTGCGATTGAGCGGTACGCTGCACTGGTCAAACATGGCTGTGGCTTCATGCAAAGTTTATCAGTTGACACTGTAGTCATACTGACATACACAGACTCTGTGTATAATTGAAGGAATGTGTCTCAGCGTCAAACCATCTCCGTCATGGAAAAATTTCAAAGGTGGTCTGCATGCGAGCAACGACTGCTGTCGTCTGGCGTTCTTCTCCGCTAGTCGTATAACTCACGTCAACCATCAGGTTCGGTTGGGGAGTAGATATACTAGCGTTTGTGTCAAACTTCACGTAGAGTGTCACTGCGACGGCTGGAGTAACAAATCTCATTCGTTGCCAAACTCCATTCCATCGTGGTATCATTTCGAACAGAAAACTTCGACGGGGCCGCATGATGGCAAGTCCATTGTTCGAGCTAGAAGCCGGTATAACGCCCTGCTTTTCCATGCGCGTGTCGCATGCCCAAACCGTGAACCCATGATATGCATTTCATCCTCTAGGGACGGGGATGCTCGTGTCGATGTCCCTCATAGCCGTAGTGTATCGTCAATAGAAAGGGACGATACGCTTATTGCTGCTCCCTCTGCTTCTTCTTCTCCTCGCGACCGGCGGACTTGCGCTCCAGGATTTGCTCACGGTCCTTGTCGAGCTTGAGCTTGGTGACGACGACCTTGGAGGCAGCGATGGGGATGGGGACGGACTGGCCGTTGCTCTTCTCGCGAACAACTGTGTTGTGAATTAGTATATCTGCTGGCCAGTGGGAATAGAGGGCTACGCACTGCCGTTGACGTGGAGGCAGTACTTGAGGCGGTAGACGGAGGAGATCTTGCCCTCACGTCCCTTGTTGGAGCCGCGGACGACCATGACCTCGTCCTAGGAAAAGTCAGCATACGACGAAACTGGGGTGAAGATCTGGATACTTACATCCTTGCGGACGGGAATGCTGCGCACTCCGTGCTTCTCGCGGAGCTCCTTACTCAAAGGCGCCTGAAGGTTGTTAGAACATGTCCCATGCAATGTTCCAAGTCTCTTCATACGCTCATGATGACCCGACGCACACTACTCGGCGCACTGAAGTGCGCCTTTCGGGACTTGCGTCGAGAGCTCGCGACCATTGCGTTAACCTTGGTCATTTTTGCTGTGGGATTGGCGGTTGTCGAGTTAGTAGACAAAGTTCGTGTCGCGATCACAAAATTGGTGTTGTGAGATGTGCCTCTGCTAGGGCGGCTTCGCTTCGCTAGCGCGGTCGGTGGGTGGGTTTCTCCGCGCCGAACAGTCCGGCGCTGCAAGTCGCGTCTGCATCATAGAGCGCATCGCCGAGCCGTCGCGCACTTTCAACACGCGTCGCAGTCAGTCTGCTCTCTCGACCAGCGCATACCTTGCGCCAAGGTGCAGCCTCGATACGGACGATTCCCGAGTGCGGTATTAGTATTGCATCTACACCCACCCGAACCCCCGCTCACGCCTACCCGAGCCCCTTCACGCGAACCATGGTTCCCATGCAGCGACCGAATCTTCCCTATATAGTGGCTTCGCAAGGGCTTGCAGACCTTTAGGAATACGCTGCTATGTCGTCAAACAACTACAACCCTTATAGCTACCCGTATCAACAAAGTTCGGCGCAACAGTATTCGGCATACCAGACTGCACCCGCTGCAAACAGCGTCGCGCAACCGTCCCGCCAGTATCAGCAGCCGCCGACGACCCAAGCGCAAGACTACGTCTCCTACCAGCCGCAATCGTACGCGAACCAAAACAGTGGATATGGAACGGCGCAAGATAACTCATGGAGTAGCAACAACTATGGCGGGACACGAGAGACAACCAGAGGCGCCGCCGAGGTTTTGCGGAATATGAGCAGCTCGACATCGTATACGAATAATTCCGCGCCGACAAATACCCAAGCGGGCTTCACCGCAACTAATACGGCCGCCTCTTCGCACTCCAGTCGCTACGCCGCCGGCAATTCGCATTCGCCCCAAGTACAGGCGCAACAACCCCACGCAGGCTACGGACAAGCGCAAGCGCGTCCAAGGAGCGTCAACAACAACCGCGCGCAGCCAGCGAGTCGGGGCTTGCCATCACCGGCCGTGACGGCAGGGTACCCTTCCCAGACTCAGAGAACCCAAGCGATGTACACCCAGCAGCAACAGCGCTCTGCCAGTCCAGCCCAGCCTCAGTACAACAATGCGCCTGTTAGCAACTCACGCAGCGCAAGTATGACCACTAAGGCGAACCAGCAGTATGGCGATTACAATGCTCGACAGCTCCCTAGCGTTGCTGCTGAAGCCTCGCGTAACTCTCAGAACGCCACATCGTCAACGGCCTACAACTACGGCAACGCGCAAATGCCTTCTGCGATCGTGCCGCCACCACCGGCACCGGCCACCAGTATAGCGGACACATACAGTGCGCAAGGCACCACCACTGTAGACCCCATGGCAGTTTACGATCCATGGCCAGAATATCAGCGAAAGCAGGCTGCGCAACATGCGATTCTAGATGCAGCGCGCGCAGAAGAAGAGAGGATCGCCGAGGAGACGCGCAAATCAGAGGAGCAAAAGAGGGAAGAGGAACGCAAACAACAAGAGGAGGAGGAGGCCAGGTTGCGCGCGTCACAACCCAAGCCAAGAGCGAAGAAGGTGCAAAAACAGCAAGCGAATGCGACGGAAGCAGCTTCTGCAGCATCTAGTGCCGACGGCCCTGCTGAAGCACTAGAGAGCGAGATCCGAGCGATGATGGCTAAGATGAGAGAGCTAAACAGCAAAGACCCGGCACTCCTAGCTCGAATCTGGGAAGAAGAACGCAGAGCGAAAGCGCCCAAGTCTCCGACTGCGCAGAACAAACCCGCTCCTCAGTCTGCCACCCCGCAACCCGCACAGGCTGCTCAAACCGTCACGCCCCAAGCGGCGAACTCGAAGAAGAAGGCGACGCCCAAACCAGCAGCGAAGCCAGCGACGCCTGCCGTACCTCAAGCTTTCCCCGTCAGACAAGTACAACCGACCCCCACTCGACCCACGGGTAACACTCACTGGCCACCCGAGAAGAAGGCACATCTGGCGAGCGCAGCAGCAGCATATCTCAACGCCCAAAATGACGTTCGCAAAGTTGAACCCAGCCAGATATTGGGCCTACTCAACAGCAACCCTTCCTACATCGAGTTGTGCGAACAACTAGAGCAAATGGGTCTGAAGCTAGATCGCGCAGTGTTTGCCAAGAGCCTACTCACAGCAGTACCAGATGTGAATTCTGCATCTCGCAAGGCAGTGCAGGCGGCGCCAGTTCCAGTTCAAAAACCGCCAGTGCCGCCTGCCGTCATGAGAAAGGAAGTCGCGACCCCCGTTGCGCCAACCCCTCAATATACACCAGCAACTGCCTCACCAGCGAACGGAAGCTCTTACCCGTCATTCCCAGGGAGCGCGTCGCCTGCACCTGCACCCGCGCCTGCACCCGTCGCCGAGATGGTGCCAATCAAGCCCGAGCTGAGAAAGCCAGCAAACAAGGAAGAGGCTGCTCGCAAACGCAATCTGAGCGATCTCATCGATTTGTCTCAACTTTCCGAAGAGGAAGACATGGGCCCGCCGCGCAAGAGAATGAATGCAGACCCTTACGCATCATATTCGCATCAAGATGCCATGGCCGTCGATGAAGAGCCTTCCACCCCGAACTTCCCCATAGCAAACACTCCCTCATATCAGCCACAAGCATCTGCGCCGCCGCCAGTTCATCCGCCGCCTAATGAACTCAGGTACCAGGTTTATGTTGAACCACTTGAGAAGAAGAATGCTCTCCGTCGAAACACATACAACCCTGCCACGATTGCAAGGGATGTACTCCTCGCTTGTGGGCGCCATCCGTCTGAGCGCAATCTGAACCAACATCTAGATGGACTGAGGACCACATTACCGCAGATAACTTGGGAATCGGATCTTAGTACAATCAGGTGGGACTTGATTGATCCAGGAAGACCCCCGCCAGGGTATTTCAAAGACGGCGTTCAAGCCTTGACTGAGGATGCAGACGATGAGGAAGACGAGTCCGACGACGATGAAGCGCGTCGTGTCCGCGCTCCGCCCAGTGCGATTGGTGAAGGTGGGGCTCAGAAGGTCCAAGCTCTACCCGAAGCCATCAATCCGTTTAAGCAGAAGCGCCGCGGTCGCCCTCGACGCTCCCTCCCCAACGGTGCGGGTCCAGGTCCAGCGACACCCAAACGTCCGAGCAACCCCGTTTCTATGAGCCAAAGTGCCCCACGCCCTACTTCCGGTGCGGCTGGTGTTGGGTATCAAGCATTCCGCTCCGCTACGGAGTATGGGCCTGATGGCAAGCCACTGCCGAAGAAGAAGGGCCGCCCAATTGGGTGGAGGAAGGCAATCCATGGATCTCCGGCTGCGCAGTCTCGTCCAGCTCTGAACGGTCACACAGGTCCCCTCAAGCACCAGCCGCCGCAACCAAGCTCATTGCGCAACGAGCCCATCCGTATCAGTTCCCGGTCGCCGAGTGTTGCAAACCATATCCCGCAGTACCGATCGTATAAGTGCAAGTGGCAGAACTGTCAGGCGGATCTACACAATCTAGAGACGCTTCAAAAGCATATATACAAGGTGCATCGCAAGGAGACTCTGGAATGCTTGTGGGATGATTGCGGCAAAGAAGTCACCAACTACGACCCTATGACTAACATGAGCATCGAGCGTCATCAGCCTTATTCCTTCGATCTAGAGAGCAACTGGCGCAACCACATACACGGAGCCCATATCAGTCCTCTGTCATGGCAGCTTGGTGATGGGCCGACTGGGGGTCTCTCTGGTAAGGAAGATAATTGATGGGCTTAAATCGTCGTTGAACACTTGGAGAGAAATGATCTAACGCTCTCATTCATAGACTCGCATGATTCTGAGGCATATCTCAGCGATGCGCAGGGACGTCAAGTCACACCACGTATCACAGTCGAGCCCGAGCGAATAGAAGCACTGAGCATGTCACCACAGGCACCTGTTGGCCAAGGTCGCGGTCGCGGACGTCCACCCAAGCGTTCAGCGGAAGAAGAAGCCCGCGATGCGCATGAAAGACTTGTGTCGCTCAAGAAGCGCATTGGTGGACCCGGCATGGATCGTGGAGGCGTAACGCTTGCCAACGAGAAGCGTCGAAGGGGTTTCATCGAAGGCGACGAGGAAGAGGAGGAGCTGGTAGATGCTGAGCATTGAGGACTGCGAATAACTTCAGATTTGATAATTTTGTATAAGTACGCGTATACCCATAGCGAGGACAAGGCGCATTGGGAGTCTTTATGGGTGCGCAGTAGAAGGAAACCGAAGTATGTCTCCATACGTGTAAGCCATAGCCAATTCGACCATCTTAAATCCATCAGCGACAAAACCGCTATATTGATACGCCAGAACTCCATGCCCCATTCGATAGAAGTCTCCGAGCTGCAAGTGGTATCCTTTGTCCTCCCTCCAGCCTCTCTCCTTGTTGTGACCCTCTCCCACGTATGCACCGCGCAACTCATGCCTTGACCTTGCCCGCTGCAGCCTTGGGCTTCTCCTCAACTTTGTGATCGTCGGAATTGACCTCGAGGAAATGGTATAGGACGATGAGCAGCATGGCAGCGCTTCCGAGGAAGATGGCGAGCGAGTAAAGTTGGCTGTCGGTAATCATCTTGGGTGCGACTGCGCGTCGAGTGTAGCTGGGTGACAGGTGTAAGGCGTCAAGGGCGCTGCGGAGTTGTTAGTAAATCCAATGGCGGAGACAAGAATGGCAAGAGCTTACGGAAGCTAGATGCGACAGAACTATCCGAGAGACGGGAATGTCGCGACAGTATTGGATGCGCAGCGATTGACTATTGGGGTTCATGTGAAGGCCACCTTGAAGCTTCGGGAATGTCGGCGAAGGTAGGGCTGGCTCTAGCGCCAGATGCTCCGCCACTCGAAATTCCACCCCACACAGCGTCATTCTCACTTTGACACACACGACCCAGGTCCCATATCCCCCGCCAGGCACCGAATTTTCGACTCTCCAAGGCGCCCGGATCCTTGGAATATCCCAAACCAACCACCTCACTGTCACTTCAACGTCCGTACACAATAAGCCAAGATGCCACCCAAAGGCAAGGGCGAGCAGCCCAAGGTGAAGAAGGTCGCCGTGGACAAGACCTTTGGTATGAAGAATAAGAAGGGAGGAGCCGCCCAGAAGCAGATTGCGCAACTCAAAGCCACCACCGCATCAGGTGGCACACCCGACGAAAAGCGCAAGGCCGCTGAGAAAGCCCAGCGCGAGAAAGACAAGGCGGCCGCAGAACAAGCCCGCAAAGAGACCGCCGAGCTCTTCAAACCAGTGCAGGTCCAGAAAGTACCTTTTGGCACCGACCCCAAGACCGTACTATGCCAGTTCTACAAGAAGGGAAACTGCGAAAAGGGCAAGAAGTGCAAGTTCAGCCATGACCTGGCCATCGAGCGCAAAACAGAGAAGAGGAGTTTATACACCGATAACAGAGACCAAGAAAAGGAAGAGGAAGAGGAGCGACGGAAGAAGGATAACATGGACGATTGGGACGAGGAAAAGCTGCGACAGGTCGTTCTCAGCAAGCACGGCAACCCAAAGACCACAACAGACAAAGTGTGCAAGTACTTTGTTCAGGCTATCGAGGACCAGAAGTACGGTTGGTTCTGGACATGTCCGAATGGAGGTGAGTCTCGACAACGAAATGCATATGAGGCGCGCGCTGACCTGTATCTAAGGCGACAAATGCATGTACAAGCACTCTCTACCACCTGGGTACGTATTCTCCATTCATTATCGCCATACAGAATGAACACATCTGGGAATCGAAACTAACATGTTCTTCAGATTCGTCATCAAGACGAGGGAGCAACGCGCCGCCGAAAAGGCCCTGATGGCCAACTCACCACTCAACACCCTCACCCTCGAAGACTTCCTTGAATCTGAACGACACAAGCTCACCGGCAAGCTCACACCTGTCACGCCCGAAACATTCGCCAAGTGGAAGAAGGAGCGTATCGACAAGAAGCAGGCTGAGGAGGAGGCTAAGAAGATGAAGGATGCCACTGGTAGGGCTATGTTCGAGAAGGGTGACTGGGCACAAGACAGCGATGCGGATAGTGATGATGAGGGCGGCGATGAGTGGAATTTGGAGACCATGAGGAAGGAAACTGAGGCAGCGAGAGCCCGAAAGGAAGAGGAGAGAATGGCAGTCGCACTCGGCAACATGACAGTATCTTGAGGATATCCATCCACTTTGGATCGAACACCACAGGGGGAGATGAAGCAGGAAAACCTCGCCGGTTGCCACACAATGCTGCAAAAGCTTGCGGGGCATTACCGGGACCTGGCTTCGATGGAAGTATGTGGAGGCAACAGATTGACTTGATGCAGTCTTTTTTGCATCATCAGCATGTTTGGCCGTGTCTGGGCTTCAGCGTTAATGCGGCATGTCCCGAACATTATTCGCAAAGCTTAGTCGGCTTTGTGTGAACGGCGCTGGCGTCTGGGTTCTGGTATATATTATACATGATTGTACGAATACAGAAGTACATTCACCGGGGCAAGTTGCTCTACGGACTCACATTGATGTGGTACAAAATGGGTGCGTCTGATTGAACGTGAGATGGATGTCAATGAGGTCCAGCATGAATGCTGATATCGGAACAAGCTGTTGTACGATACCTTGGGTCGCAAAGATTATGATGATCTACATGATATGAGCTTTCCTTACGCCCAGAACGTTTCGTAAATCATGATACATGTCACCACGGTCAATTTCAACATCTGCACGGTACATTTCAGAATCAAGACGGAGCATTTCGAGACCGTCACGGCGAAATTGAAATCGTGTTCATTCACTAGCAGCAAAGCTCCTACTGGAGCTATGACATCCTGCGGCAACATCCTCGATGGAAACTCCACGGGAAGCATACTCGGTACTCGCAAGCGTAGTCTTACTTACACGTGCAGCCTTATCATCATCTCAACGACAAGCTTCGGCCCTATTACCTTCACCCTCATTGGCAGTACACGTACCCTCGTACGAAGTCCAAAGGCAAAAAAAGAATCCTACTCACACACCAAACATCAAGGGAAGAAGAAGCGGTAAATGTAAGCGGCCGAAACACTCCACTTCACGATACTCCATGCCATGCTCGCCTGCCTCGCCCAGATCGCGGCTGCGCGTCACCTAGCCTTCATCCAACCACACTAGCCCTCCGAAAGGTAAAGTGCAAGATGTATCTTGGCGCTCAAAATGCCGCGCATCAGTTCCGCCAACGCCTAGTCAGACTCCCCGCAACATGACGGCATGCCCATTCGGCGCACGCGGCGACCCACGTACCCAGGTCCCCAGGCCCTGGTCCCTCTCACGCGCATCCGAAGTCGTGTGCCGGCGCGCACTACGCACTCCCGAGTTGTCTTGCCATGACGAAGACGCGGCCGAGGCTAGCCTTGGTCCGTGGTTTGATGGCGTCGTTTACTGATTCTTAAAGAGCAGGTGCCGGTCACTGGGATCGTCGGTTACTGTTCGAGTTAATATACTTTATACCCTTTTTTACATACTTTACGCCTCTTTCTTTACGCCCTGTCGCCTGCATTGAGCAATTCGGTGTAGCTGGGAGCGAAGAGATTACTTACTTTGATCATTGAGTGTGGGGCATCATCCGTATTCCCGGATCGTTCCCGTTACGTCTTCATTTCCTTGAGAGACTCTTCCTTGGATCTGGGTTGAAAGAATAGCAATGGCGGTGGAAAACTACGATATCGTTATCGTGGGCGCGGGACCTGTTGGTCTCTGCCTGTCAACATGTCTCGCAAGATGGGGTTACAAGATCAAGCACATCGACAATCGACCCGAGCCGACCGCCACTGGACGCGCAGACGGAATCCAGCCGCGATCCCTCGATCTCCTACGCAACATGGGTCTTAAGCGCAAGATTATGGAATATGAACCCGCAAAGGTCTATGAGGTGGCTTTTTGGGATCCAGCACAAAAAGGTATTCACAGGACAGGTACTTGGGCTAGTTGTCCAAAGTTCATCGATGCGCGGTATCCGTTTACCACGCTTCTCCACCAGGGAATGATCGAGAGGACGTTTATTGGGGATATTGAGAAGAATGGTGGTCAGATCCAAAGACCCTGGACAATCAAAGGCTTCAAGAACGATGGCAAGGATCAGACTTATCCTGTTGAGGTCAATCTGGCGCATGTCGATGGCACCCACGAGGAGACTGTACGCGCAAAGTATTTGTTCAGTGGAGAGGGAGCGAGGAGTTTTGTACGGGATCAGTTGGGTGTCAAGATGATCTACAAGGACCCTATTGCGCATGTTTGGGGCGTCATGGATGGAGTTGTCAGGACGAACTTCCCCGACATCAAGGTATGTATCTCCTATGTTCTTTGCTCCTGTGGGTACTAACAGTGACATAGATGAAATGCACAATCCACTCCGACAACGGCTCCATTATGATCATCCCACGCGAGAACAATATGGTCCGCTTGTACATCCAAGTCGCATCTTCTACGGACAAAGACTGGGACCCGCGGAAATCCGCCACTGCGGAGGATGTTCAGGCGCGTGCCAAAAAGATCTTCGAACCGTACACCATCTCTTGGGACCGCGTAGAATGGTACTCAGTCTACCCTATCGGCCAAGGTATCGCGGAACGCTACACACTCGACGAGCGCGTCTTCATGGGTGGTGATGCATGCCACACACATAGCCCCAAGGCTGGCCAGGGAATGAACACAGCGTTCTTGGACGCAGTGAACATTGCATGGAAGATCCACCATGTGGAGAGTGGCTGGGCACCCCGCTCCCTCCTCTCGACATACGAATCCGAACGTAAACTCATCGCCGAAACGCTCCTCGACTTCGACGCCCGCTACGCAAAGCTATTCTCCGCACGGATACCTTCAGCCGGTGAAGTCGCCGGCGCATCCGCAAAGGAAGCCCCGGAAGATAACGAATTCATCAAGACATTCAAAGCAAGCTGCGAGTTCACCAGCGGCTACGGCGTAGCCTACAAACCCAACATGATAAACTGGGGTCCGGAACACTCCGCCCAGCACCCCCTCATCCTCTCCTACCAAAACGGCACAAGCCAACGGACAGGCAGAATCATGACCCCCGCAACCGTCACACGAGTCGTAGATGCCAACGTCGTACATCTCGAACAAGAAATCCCCATGAACGGCTCCTACCGCATGTTCATCTTTGGCGGTAGCTTGGATAAGAGCGCAACAGCACTTAGAGATCTGGCGACGCAGATGTCATCTCCTACATCGTTCTTCAGCACCTTCCTCCACCGCGATATAAAGGAGACAGACCGGTACCACGAACGCCACAACCCCCACACCGATTTCCTTTCCCTGGCCCTCGTTTTCTCAGCACCGCGCTCAAGTATTCACATCGATGAACAACTACCTCAGCCTTTCAACCGCTACGCCGATCACGTTTACGCCGACGATGTCTGGGACCAGAGGGTTCCTGATGCAAAGGCTGCGGCGCATGCTAAGATGGGTCTTGATGAGGAGACAGGTGGTGTTGTCGTTGTACGGCCGGACGGCTATGTTGGTGTCGTTGTTAAGCTGGCGGAAGGCAAGGGCACTTGTGAAGCGTTGGATGCGTGGTTCTCGGGGGTCACAGGGAAGAAGCTTGGGGGTGAGAGGGCGAGTTTGTAGATGTGTCGGATTTGCATAGCGTTTTTAAATTCAAATAAGTTCGAACTTACTCAGAATCAAACATGCAAATACACATTTGGCATAACACTGAGGTTCATGGCGATAATGGCTTACATGTGTAGGGAAACGATGACGTCATCATACATGGTCGTGCCGGTCAGTTGAAAGACGCGTTGGAGGGTTGCAAGCCACTCAGATACTTGACGCACCATGCTGAATACACACGAACTATTTCGAGCGGCTATCGCGACTCATCCTAGCCTTACACTCAGATAGGGAAACGAGTATACGCGCCGTGCAACAAGCGATGTAAGCACTACCGCGAGTACTGATACGGCCACCGATGATGATCTCTTTCCGTGTTTACTCATTGGCTCTCAATGATGTAACAACAAGTCTACGCTCGCACAAGGGAAGAGGCTTGATCTAAGATGCAGTAGTTGCTGCGGATGGCTTGGATCTGGCTCCGCAGAGTGAGAAACGGGAGTAAGTGAGGTATGTTGTGGGAGGCCTAAATGCCAGCGCGGCGTGCTACCTCCTGGGCGTAAGTTGCAGGAGAGGGGTGATGGAGACATACAAAAGCACGGAGGAATTACCTCGATCGTCATACCGACTTCTCTGTGCTCGAAGAAGCTGAGACCGAGCTTCTAACAGAATCACAATGCCTCAGAGGTCACTATACGTCGCAGGCCTAATGCCCCTACTCTTCGCTATACTCTACTTCCAGCTAGGCAACCTCACCTCCCTCTTCAATCATGCCACACAGATCCTCAGCCAGCAACCCGCAACGACCAAACCCCCCATCATCATGGCCGCAACCCCCGCCTTCAGCCACATGGAAAAAATCACAACAATAACCCAAGGTCTCATCTCCCGCGGCTACCCCGTACATTTCATCTCCGGCCCCGAATTCGCAGACTACATCGAATCAATCGGGGCAACGTACATCGGGATCGAAGGCCAAGGCCCGCAAATCATGTCTGGAGAAGACCTAGGCCAGTTTATTAGTCTGCAGGGTGATGAACAGGAAGTTTTTGCTTTTAAGAATATCTTTATCAAGACTATACCGGCGCAATACCGCACGCTGCAACGTACGTTCCGGGAATTTCGCGACCAGTATGGAGAGGAGGAGAAGATGATATTCCTGTTCGACTGCACGTACGGCGGTCTTGCACCCGTTATACATGGCGCGCCTGGTATCCGGCCTGATGCTTCCATCGCTATAGGACTGGCTCCGTATGCAGCAGCCAGCAACGATACCTTCCCTTTCCGCTCAGGAAAATACCCAGACACCAGTCCTGAGAGCCAGAAGGTGCATTTTGAAGCCCAGCAAGCGCATCGCAGGGAACATCCGATTGACACCCCCGTTAACGCGGCTGTCGATGCTCTGCTACTGGAACTGGGCGCTACGACAACGACGCCGAGTCTGTACGATATGATGATGCGGGCTTCAGATGTGTATCTGCAATACGGGATCCCGGCTTTCGAATGGGAACGTAGTGACTGGCGTCCGCATCTTCGGTTTATGGGCGCGCCTCTTGCGGTGGGTATTGCGGAACATAGTCTGCCTGAGTGGTGGGGCGATGTGCTTGAAGCGAAGGCTGCGGGGAAGAAGATTGTGGCTGTGTCTTCTAGTAGTGTGGTGTATGATACTAGTGCGCTTATCAAACCGGCGTTGGAGGCGTTTGGTAGGAGAGAAGATGTCTTTGTGGTTGCTACGTTGGTTACGTCTGATGTGGAGATGTTGGATTTCGACATACCGGCGAATGCGAGGGTAGCGAAGTTTATTCCTTTGGATTTGGCGCTGCCGGATGTGCGTATACCCAGTGTTGCAGGTGCGTATGTGTTTGCTGACACCAAAGCAGGTCGACGTTCTAGTCACGAACGGCGGATACGGCACCATCCAACAATCGCTTCGCGCAGGTGTACCGATGATCGTCTCGGGTAACGGACAAGATAAACTGCATACAGGCACTCTGATCAACTACAGAGGCTTTGGTATCTACCATGCTTTACCGCAAGTAACGCCGGGACTGCTGACGGAGACTTTCGACAAGATTATGGGCAACGCCACATACAAGTACGTTGTCTCTTGCCTATCAGTGTTATGGGACTCAGTGACGGACACGGAGCTGACGAGAAATAGGCAGAGGCTCGATACCATTAAGAGGGAATACGAGAAGTATAACGCGGTGGATGTTGTCGAGGATACGATGAAGAAGGTAGTCAATGGTCAACTGGTCTTCTAGGCATCTGAGTGGATGAGTGACGTACGATTATCGCGAGAGATGCCTAGTGTTCGCGCGCTTAGTTGATGAGGAAATGTGAATAAGGACTTGCATAACCTAAGTCTTCTGCGTGTAACTGTTGGCGTGCTTGCCGCCCTGTTGACGTATGCTACTGCTGCGCTCATGAAACTAAGTAACCCATCTACCTTGCTACCATGTCGCATAGTGTAGGCAAAGTAAGAAGCTGAGTCCGGTAGTCCGCTAAAATTGTACTTTGTTGCAGCTAGCAAATCACTACTATTTCAAAGTCTCTACAAGTTACGTGTAAGTAACACCTTAGCCTGTTCGTCAAGAAGGAGAGTGTGCGAAGCAATTAGGGAGGTAAAAAAAATGCAACATCTCCTGCAATATCCATGTCACGCAATTGACATGGTCAAATGTAAAAAATAAAAAAACCTAGAAGCTCAACGTCGTCGACACCAGCAGGGCTGTATACCTTGCTGACGCCGCGACTGACAAAAAGAATGCCCTCTAGCAGGATCGAACTGCTGACCTCGGGATATCTGCTCTGTCGAACAGTCATATATGAAGATATGAGACCCACGTGATAACCAACTACACCAAGAAGGCTTTTGCGGGGAGGCTTGAAATGGTGACATAGGATGCCACCTGCTGCGAAACCGCTGCACCGGAGAGATGCTGCTTGATTGATGAGAAAATCTTCCAGCAAAATATATATAATGTCGACGTTTTGAGCGGTGGAGTGCGTGTGGAGCGGAAAATAGTCGAAATATCAACTGCGAATTTGATAGGCCGTGTCGAATCGATGTGCTGGTCGAGTGACACATCGCTGTTTGAAATGTGGGTAATTACCGCGATGTGCGCTGACTTCCGAGGTACGCTGCAGATGTGGACCCAAGTCCGGAGCCTCTTACCAATGAAACCAAACAAAACTGTAATAACGAAACAGTCTTCTTAAGTTTACTTTCCATTGTGTATCGACTGGAGAATGCATGCAGACCTAAAGGGGTGCTGCTTTCAAGTCCAAAAATATGCATTTTGGACCAATTTGCTCCGCCAAAAAGGTCTAACTTCGCGGGCAAGCCTTCCTGGACGACAAGAGCCTACGCACGCAAAAAGAATGGTCACTACGAGGGTCGAACTCGCGACCTTGGCGTTATTAGCACCACGCTCTAACCAACTGAGCTAAGCGACCGATGTTTGGTTGTTTCGATGGAGGTTTGCCAATCTTGACGGAATATGAAGGGAGAACATCAACAACACTCCTCTATGTTGTCCGAGTATCACAAGCCATGCTGTTGATGTTAGCATTGTGCAGACGAAGTTTGGTGGGGTAAAAATTCCACTTCGGAGATTTCGGATGACTGTCATGGTGGGGCAACCACAGAAAATACAAGGTTGGAGAAGCAGCCCCGGTAAATCTGACATAACCCCAGGGCTCACGTTGACTGGTCGTTGCTGAGGTGGATACGATGTATTCATTCTTGACGTAGTTGAAGGAAATGTTGTTGAAAGGGGCTCGATTGTGGAGCCACGGGTATCTTCGAACGCGAACCAAACCAACGCCAGCGCTATGCGCTTGTAAAGCAAAATCTATGAGGAACATTAACAATATACTCGTGAATCGTAGTCGGTCATTTGTGGCACGCGGCATGCCCGACCGTCGATGTATAGTCCGAAAGAGGAGGATCCGATGGTTGGCGGTAATGCGCCGCGACGCGAAGTCGCCATCAGACAATCCGAACGACCAAGTAACACACGTCGTCATGGGTCGTCAATCATCAGTCGTGTGTCAGCCCTCTAGCTGTCCCAAATACTTCTCAACCTCGTCGTTGCCGTAGAACATCCTCTGCAACTTAGCATCCTTCCTCTTTTGGACCTGGGCAAGCTTCCTAACTTTGCCGGCATCGAGCCTGCCCTCTCTGACGTCTGCACGGCTTGCGCCACCTAACGACTTCCTCTGGATGTGCTCTTTCTTGTCTATGCCCAAGCCCAGCTTATCGCGCTTCTCCTTGGGAACAAGCGGAAAGAGCATGCCCTGACCACTCGTACCCAAGCCTTGTCGCGCATCGACATCGTAGCCGTGCTTCTCCATGTATTTCAGTCCCATTCTTGTCCGATCGATCGCGGAGGGTATGGGCGCTCGCGGAAGTGCTGCCTGGTGTGCAGGGCTTAGGTAATGTATGCGCTGGTCGGTCTCTTTGACGGGCTCGCCGCATATGCCGCATCGAGGGTATGCTTCGGGTGCTGGTTGCGGCTGACCATTGGGAAACATTATGGCAAGATACTTCTCGGCCATGGTCTTGCCGTTTGTGGATGTGGGTGCTGGCTGTACTTCGGGGGCGGAAGAGACGAATTTGATGGGGTTCTTCCACAGACCGCGTCCGAAAGCGCGCTGTTCGACGAAAGGCTTTGTGGAGACATCAGGATCTTCTTCAAGAAGCTCGTCGGCATCGTACTCGTCCGCGGTCGGTGTTGTGGTGGGAGCGGACATCGTGGCGGTCTCGTTGCGAATCGCGCGTGGTGCGCGTGGTGCGCGTGGTGGTGGCAAGACGTCGTGGATTTAAGGTTTTGCGGCGGTGGAAGGAGCGACACCGCCGGGCAAGAAAAGTCGAGGTGAAAGTGAGATGTGGGTGGTGAAGCCAGGCGACAACCTTCGACGCGCAATCACATGCTATGACGCTACGTGGATCCGATCTGCTTAGCGAGCCACCATAGATCCGCGTTCCTGAACCTTCCCGCTTCCCGTCCCACCAACAGCCAAGATGCCCGTCAACATCCTGGCCACAGCCTTCGACGAGGGCATCGACTCCATTCCATACGGCTGGGCCGTCTTGAAGTTCGCTTCTGTTTGTGCAGTCTTGTACGTGCTGAAATGGTTCTTCAGTGGCGCCACAAATGGATCGGAGAGGAACATGCATTCCAAGGTGGTTATGGTGACGGTAAGTTTGAGCTATGTGCATGCGTTGAATTACTGTACTGATAATGTCTAGGGAGGCACTGCTGGCATAGGTGCTGAGGTCGTAAGAGGCCTGGCAACTCGAGGTGCACAGATTGTTCTCCTGGTTCGACAGCCCCTTGTCGACCCCTTCCTCGTCGACTACATCGAAGACCTCCGAACCCAGACAGGCAACGAGCTTATCACCGCCGAGCATGTCGACCTCGAGGACCTGTATAGCATACGTCAGTTTGCAACCAAATGGGTCGACAACGCACCGCCACGACGTCTCGACACAATCGTCCTCTGCGCGAACACAATGACACCACCAGGAGGCAAGGCAACACAGACCGAAGACGGGCTGGAGTCTACTTGGGGGCTGAACTACATGGCCAACTTCCATCTGTTGAGCATACTCAGCCCAGCACTACGTGCTCAGCCTCCCGACCGAGACGTCCGAATTATCTTCGGTACATGCCCGGCATACGTGGGCGGAAAGTTGCCAGGTGTCGATACAAAAGCAAATACAGACGGAAAGAGCGACCCTGGACAACTCGACTTCACCCCTTCCACCGTATACGCAACCTCCAAGCTCGCCCTCATGACCTTCGCCGTAGCCTTCCAGAAGCATCTCTCAAACTACGTCCGTCCTGACAAGCAGCCCATGAACGCACGCGTAATCATGGTCGACCCGGGCTGGTCACGAACACCCGGCATGCGGCGATACCTTACCTTCGGCTCGCTGTGGGGGCTGGCGATATACCTCATTACATGGCCGTTGTGGTGGCTTGTGTTGAAGAGCCCTGACCAAGGCGCACAAACCTTCTTATACGCGGCTATGGAGGCACAATGGGGTCGTGGAGAAGGGGCATACTTCCTCAAGGAATGTCGGAGAAAGATATGGACAAGGAAGGAGATCGATGATGAACTGCTGCAGAAGAAGCTTTGGGAGAGCAGTGAGAAGACGATCGAGATTCTTGAGAAAGAAAGCGCAAAGAAGAGGGCGGCTGAGAAAAAGCAGAAGGAGAAGTCTGAGGGCAAGAGTACCGCAAAGGCGCCTAGCGGTGATGCTAAGCAACGGAAGTAGAGACTGGCGGTCATCCTCGTCGAAGCTCACAACGTTACTAGAATCACTTTTATAAGACCCAGATGTTGTTGCTCAAGATCTAAGCAAGACTCAAAATGAAGCATCTGGAACATGCTACGAATGGTGCGATCTTGTGATTCCGTTCAAGTTTGCTCACAATCGGCAAAGCTCTCTGCGTTCATATATCAATGCTTGCGCCGCCGAAGGTTACCCACAACACGCCAACCATGTGCGAATCCAATTTTACAGCTCTTCCGGTTGAGTTGAAGGTACTGGTTTTTACCGATGGATGTCTTGAATACAACGACTTGTTCCACTCCTCATTGGTAAACAAAGAGTGGCATGACATCATCTATAAAACGAATGATATCCGCCAGAGCATGTTTCTGCCACGCCTTCCGAAAACTGGGAATGCAAAGATACTACCATCTACAAGCGGGCCAGTCGCTAAAATGAGTATCTTTCAGGGCTTGCCAGACTCTACAAACAAAGAGCGAGCATCTTTACAAGGTACTCCGTGGACTGATTTGAAGCTACATCCGCTGCTTCCAAGGTTCCGCACTCCTAAACGGCTACCTTCCTTGCTCACAAATGGAGGCAATTGGAGGAGCCAACGGCTGGGATTGCGGCGTCCAGGTCATCTGGAGATCAGCTACTGGCTATTGAAGCACTGTAACAAGCCGCATATGAAGGAGGATGGCGCGGAGTGGCGGGAAGTGCCCATCACCTACCCCCCAATCCGGCGCTTGCTTCTCAGAGTGGAATACTACAACTGTCCGAGGCAGTTGCATGGTGCTCTCCAGTCCAATTATTTCTGCATCACATTGGAAAACCCGACCGGAGTAACTATAGGAGACGTCGTGGACCGTGCTTGCCAGGGTCGAGTACCGTATAATATCGGTCTCATCCCCAACGATGGAAGCTGTGCTGGCTGGCATTGTTCGGAGGGTCCTCCAGAGAAATGCCGTCTTTACAACTACACCTACACGTTTGTGGAGAATGTTTGGAGAGAACCTTACTGGTCTAGGCATCTAAAGAAGAAGGAACGCCACTGGGCTGATGATGACACATTTGACGAAGGAGAAGAAACCATAAAGAATTCGGAGGAACAGAAGGAACAGAATAGAAGGGGCTATTACGGCGGCTATAACGAATACGATTTATGAAACCAACGGCGGGAGAGCGAGATACGAGCGAGGGTTGTACCGGAAGAAAGGTGCCTGAAGATATGTCAGTTCAACTTCCAATTGCGATACAGGATGTGAAGAGGCTGTTGACTTTGTCTTTCAATTCAATGCGAATTACCTCTATTGTACAGACTCGGAGCGAATCAACTTGGATAACGGCCACGGAAGAGCGATGACCACTTCCGGTCGTGCTCTGCTTGGGTGTGTCCAAGTTTGCTCATAATCAGTGGAGCAATCCGTGATCATGTATTAATACTCCTACTGACAACGATTAGCAGCATCATCTTAGTCATGTCTAGCCCAACTAGTGCACACCTTCCGAACGAATTGAAGCGGATGATCTTCAGTAATCCCTGTCTTGGTTACTTCGATTTGCTACGCGTCTCCTTTGTCAATAGAGAATGGCGTTCCTTCGCCATGGACGTCGATGACATTCGCCAGTGTATGTTTCTCCCGTGTCTAGACCGCTCTCAAGACATGGTAACGCCTCCAGCTGCATCCGGGCCAGAGGCCGAAATCTACATCGATCACAGGCTCCCTCATAAGATGAAATTGGAAGCTGTCATCTTACAGGATGACCCACGCCAGCTTCCTGATGTGACGGCTACTCCATGGGATGGTGTGGAAATTCATCCGCTACTTGAGATGTTCCGTACTTATCGCATACCACACCACAGTGATGCAGCAAACCCGAAAGTCGACCTTACCATCAGTTACCAGCTACTAAAGCACTGTAAGAAGCCTCATGTTGACAGGAGCTCCGCAACATGGCGCGAAATGTTCGCCACGCAACCTCCAGTCATGCGCTTGATTGTTAATCTGAAGACTGAGCAGTGCTCTTCCCAGGACGTCCGGACTCTTCACACTAAATTTCCAATTCATAGTGAGAACGGAGTAACGCTTGGGGAAGTCGTCGATATCTTATGGTACCCTCAACTCATGCGAAATATCGGTCTTGTGCTCGACGATCGCCGGTGCCGTGGCTATAAGCTGTTACCATACTACGAGTGGAACGTCTGTCATTGTTATCATAGTACCAACTTTCAGGAGGTACATTATAGGGTACAGATGGCTGTGGAACAAGGAAAGAGTTTAGCAGAGGTGCGTAGTATACGCGACAAGGGGATAACAGAGAATGAGCATGGTAAATTTCAGTGCCGGATATTTCCTGAAGATGAAGAGTAGGACAACGGCTCGCGATAAGTGCATTGATAGTTTCCTTCCTTCCAATGCTGTATCAGCGAATAGCCAAAGCCCATTCCACTCTCTCTAAACAGCAGGGAAAATATAAACACCCTTCTGCAGCGCCATCTGCACACTCGGCACAGGCTTAACATATTTCCTCACGCTCTTCACCGCATCATCCAACAACATCGCCACCAGATTCCCAAACACGACACTCCCCTCCGCATTCAAATGCGTGTTATCATCCGCCTTGAGATTATACGTATGCGCCTTCTCCGCGCCAATCGCATTCAAATACGCCGTGCTTGCCGCATTCAAATCGATAATGCCCGCGCCGCTCTTACTCGCCGCTTCTTTCGTCGCAGCAACCACATCCGCGAGGTTTAGTTTGATCTTCCCGTCGGCGTCGTAGTTGCGTCGGCTTAGCGATGTAACGAGGATGGGTGTTGCGCCTACATCCCGCGCTTCGTTCACATACGCAATCAGGTTGTTTGTGAGATCTGCGGCGCTGATGTTCTTATCGGGCTTTTGGTCGTTGTGTCCAAACTGAATCGTAACATAAGGCGTGTATTTGCTTGACACGTTTTTCGCGGAGGATAGCACGGTGGCCCAGTCGCCGCCTTGTCGGAAGGATACGGTTGTTGCGCCGTTGTGGCCGTAGTTCGTGCCTGAAGCACCGTTTTGAAGCGTTGTCGTCAGGAAGCCGGTGCCCCAGCCGCCGCCGCCTGCGGATTGTACGGCGGTTGTTGAGTCGCCGGCGAGGAGGAAGTAGGGTGGTTTTTGGGCGCTGGGCTTGGGTTTAGGGGAGGGCAGAGCAGAGGATGTGGCGAGGAGGGCAAAGTAAGCGAGGGTTGATGGGAGATGCATGATGATACTGTTCGACTGGGTTGCTGTGAGATGAAATGGATGGGATATCGAATCTCGAGCTGACAGTTCACCTGCCGGTTTAAATGAAGGGTGCTTATTACTTATATAGCCATGAACTAATCTCCTTCATCCCTACGGTGCTCACCTTCTAGATGACAGTTGATCGGAATTTTACCCCATAATTTCCTTTTCGGGGCCGATGGTCACTGGGGTAGAGGAGATGGTCTGGGGTAGCTTGTAATGTTCGTGTTGATGCATTTCCACCAATCGGGCTTGGGGAAATCAACGGGAACGTCATCGGTGTTGTTTCGCGGAGGAAATCCGATCCCGTGGAAAACGGGGAAGAATCTTGATAGACATACGATTCCCGTTCGTCCGGCATTGCGAAGCTGGAATGCGCATGTTTTGTCTGTGTATGAAGAGTTGTTGATGCTGGCCGAACTCGATGTGGCCGGGTTAGTTCGCTGGTCCTGATGAGGCTGGGTTCGCTGGCCTGAAACGTGCCTGCCTGTGGCGGTTCGACTCAGCCAGCCGTGCAGCCTCTTCTTACTCAAGAACAGGCGCAGCCTTCGTTGCTTCCTAAGCATCTCCACAACTTTTCCGATATCTTGTTATCCTACTGCTGATTAAGTCTCTCGAATGGTAGCGCCTTTATCGAAGACTTCTGAAGATGCGCACCATTACCGCCTGGCTGAACAAGCTTCTGCATTTGACGTCCAAGGTCGAAAGCGATATTCCGAAGTCAGCAGAACTGTGCGAACTCTGCGCACAATGGGACTTTTCTACGGTGTTTCTTGGTCGACGATATCCCGCTTATGAGTATGGAGTTATTAAAGACAATTCGAGATCAACGCTCTGGGATATTCGCTCTCTGGAAACACTCAGACTCGCGAAGAAGTGCCCAATGTGTAGCTTCTTTGTCGGTCTACTTGTTGTTCGAGGTCAGATAAAAGAAGAGACTACCTCAGCTTCAGAGAAAGACCTGGTTGCGCAGTTCAAAAAGGAATCGTTGACCAGGTACCTAGGGGCTGTGTATCTACGGATAACCGAGCGACATGCCACCCAATCATCGCACGTTGACTCTAACTCTGATGATGCGGTAGCGAATTCTGGTCGCGAATGGATCACTCTGTTGCCAGAGTCTGGTTCCATGTCCTCTCGAACAGAACCACGGACAACATACACATGGGGAGGCAGGCATTTGAAGCCGTACTGTAACTTCACAGAGTTATCATCGTGGGTACGAGAGTGTTCCGAGGATCCGCATGGTACCCACTTCGATTGTTGGGAGAGCCGCTTCGAGACATACACGTGGAAAACACTTCGGCTGATCGACGTGAAGACAATGTGCTTGGTTGTGAAGCAGTTGCCAACGAAATACGCTGCACTGAGCTATGTCTGGGGCCCACCTCATCTGATACAACTAAAGTTGCACCAAATGAACGTGGAAAAGATGTCAAAACCCAACGCATTGAGGGAACGGTGGAATCAGGTGCCAACAACGATCAAGGACGCCATCAGGGTTTGTATCGAATTCGGCATCCAGTACCTCTGGGTTGACGCTCTCTGCTTGGTCCAAGATGCGCCAGATCTTCCACGACATCTGGACAAGATGACGGAGATTTATGACGCGGCTGTCATGACTATCGTAGCCGCCTGTGCCGATTCATCATGGACAGGCCTCAGCGGTGTGTCGATAGCGCGTCCTATGTCGCAACATAGGGTGTCTTTTGGAAGCATGGCCCTTATTGAACCTTTGCCACCACTAGGAACTGAGTTGGAGAACGCACGCTGGACTCAACGTGGCTGGACGTTCCAGGAACATATATTCTCTAGACGATGTCTGATTTTCTTGGAAAATCGAGTGGTTTTTCAGTGTAATGATGGATGGACCGACGAAAGTATCGACTTTGACTACCGCGGGCGGGGTCTCCGCCACGCGAAAGCTTCGACTCGGATGTCTTTACCAGCGTTATCACCGAGAGGAGAGAATTTCAGTTTCCTGCCCTTCGTGGAGTGCTTCTGCAAGCTTGAGCTTACGTACGATTCCGATGCTCTCAATGCATGCAGAGGTGTCATAGCGTGGCTCGAGCAGAATGACACGGAGTTCTTCTGGGCTACACCTACCAATCGTATGCTGGCAGGTCTCGACTTCGGGACTGAAGCATTGGAGCGACGACCCGACTATCCTAGCTGGTCCTGGTTGGGTTGGCGGAGACCACACCCTCAAGAGAAGGGTTACCAGAAGTTTTATGGCCGCAGGACGAGTAGTATTGGGCACGACGGCCTGTGTAAGATTGATATTCCGTCGCTAAGAAGTGATCACAAGAGCCACGCACTCGGCTTTGATACATCACAGCTGTCAGCAAGTGATTTGGATAAGCTTCTTCTACTGGAGACTCAGGTTGCAAGTTTCTCGGATCTGGAGGAAGCATTATTTTCTCGCGATGACTCGGAACGTCGCAAAGTTCGGCCAGATCTCTTAACCCATAATGTCCTCGGGGCATGTAGGATTGAGCTGGTGCGTCTTGCGCGAGAGTTCAATTGGGGAGATAGCGAAGAGCCTCTTTATGTGATCTGCTTGATCGTTAAGACTGACTTGCGGCGTGTATCCGAGCGGATCGGTGAGGGGCGAGTCGAACTCAGCATGTGGCAGACAGCTGTGGTGGAAGAACGGACTGTTTATCTCATCTAACATCCGAAGGCCGCGACATTCTACGATCCGGAATATCCGCAAGCACAGTATGAGGCTGAGCAGCGTATCATTTCTTGTCTGCACATTTTTTGGACAAAACGAGTGCGTGCTGGGCGCGACATAAACTAACCTCACTGGTATTGCCCGGGCGGAGCTCATGCATGTCGGTGTATTCGGAAGAAGGAGTAACTCAACAGATGGAGACGGGTTTGCGTCCCGCTCCTGGCGAGGCGGCTCGGTTGAAGTTCTGGGACGGCATTTGGCCCCGCGTGGGTGGGATGTCAGATGCGCTATACCCGATTGAGCGTGCAGAGAGCTCCCCGACTGGCACGTGGAGAACACGCAGCATTCTGGCGGCGCAGCTGCGAAGGAAGGCTCTTGTGGAAGAGGGAACGATATATATTACCCTCACTATTGATTGAGCACGTAGTCGCAACATCGCGATTCCACGAGCCGGACCGTTTCGTAGCTTCCGTTGCCGGTTGCGCGTGGGAACGGGCCCGACAGGCGCCCCGCGTACCCTTCCAAGGTTATTTCCACGGGGTTGGCACCACTGGCACTACATCCCGTTTTCATGGCACTGATCTTCATGACTAGCAATGCGCCGCCTCTTCGATTACATGTCAGATTTTTTCCGGCGTATTCCCTCCGATGTTTGACACCCCTGGGGCCGCCATGTGTTGACCCGGCCTTTTGCCACGATCTATCGCTCGAAGGCGCAGGTCCTTAGCCATCCATGAGAACCCACAGTAAGGCCGGCAGATGAACATGCGTCCGAATGTCGATGGAAGCCAGGGGTCTACATGTCCAGACCGTACCACGCATGACGATCTCTTAGCAGCGGTGCGATGAGAGCCTTTAAGTCGTTGCCAGGAAGGCTTCACGGTTTCTTCTGCAAGCCGTCAATCCTTCAGCTTCGCAACCAGCCGTGATCCGCACGGGTCAGCAAGCGACTTTGTTTTTGTGGTATCTTTCGTTCATCTCATACGTATTCCGACATGCATTCATTCATCGTTGCTTCGTTCTATGGCGCTGCGGTGTTGGCAGTCGCATCGGCCCAAACCACATACGACTATGTCATTGTTGGAGGAGGCACCACGGGCTTGGTCGTTGCGAACAGACTAAGCGAAGATCCCAATAGTGAGTAATGACAGGTACAGAGGTGCTTCAAGCAATAAACTGACAATTGTCCACAGAGACAGTCCTGGTCATCGAAAATGGCGCGCTCAGCAATAGCACCCTATCCAGCATTCCCGGTAATTCCGGCGGCCTCAACCTCGCTGCTATGTACGACATCTACAGCGCGCCCGTTCCCAATCTTGGCAACCAAACTTTCCTAGTAACAGTCGGCAACGTCGTCGGCGGCGGGTCATATGTGAACGGCATGCAATTTGACAGAGGTGCTGATGCTGACTACGACGCGTGGGGTCAGCTCGGAAACAAAGGGTGGGATTGGAAGGGGCTGAAACCATATTTCATGAAGAGCAACGACTTCGGTGCGCCTTCGAAGAAGACAACCAAGACTTTTGGTATCACCTACAATGCCAAGGCTTACGGCAATGGCCCGCTGAAGGTGTCGATACCGGACTATCAATTCCCTGACATGAAGACTATCTATCACTCCTGGGATAATGTCGACATTCCACATCCACAGGAGGGCTTCGCAGAGCCTGTCGGTCACTACTGGTCACCAAACTCAATTAACAAGGCGACCGCTATGCGTAGTACTTCGCGCACTGCGTACTACGATCCCATTGTGTCGAGGAAGAACCTGAAGCTGTTGACAAACACTCATGTCGATGAGATTACCTTCTCGAAGAACAGAGTAGGCGCCTTAACCGCCACGGGCGTCAAGTATACCCCAAAAGACACCAACAAGGAAGTCGAAGCCATTGCCGCGAAAGAAGTCATTCTTGCTGCTGGTGGCGTGTTCACGCCACACTTGCTCATGTACTCTGGCATTGGTCCGAAAGACGTTCTGACAGCTGCTGGTGTCATCGTTAAGAAGGTAAGCACGTCAACCTCGGAAAGATATGACAGGTCTAGAGCCTACATCGACGTTAGGGCACCTACTTCGCAGGTTTCTATGTAGATGCAGGCTGCAGACACGTTTAACCTTTTCCTTGTATGGGGTGTATGGATGGTCGTGATATCTCTGAGGCCTGCGCTGACATTTCCTAGGATCTTCCAGCCGTGGGTTCAAACTTCCAAGACCACATTGCCAACTACATGAACTTCGACCTCCAAAATCTGAACCCAGAGAACATGAACGCACTCAGCACGGATTCAGTCTTCAACCAAACATCTTACGATCAGTACCTGAAGTCGCGCACCGGCCCATACTCTGTCGGCAAAGCCAACGGCCTCGTCTTCATCGCACTACAACACTTCGATTCCTCGTTCAAGAAGACTGTTGCCAAGATACGATCTCAAGTAGCTTCCAACTTCCTCCCTGAACGCTACGCAAAAGACAAGAAGCTCCTTGCCGGCTTTAAGAAGCAACGCGACATCCTCGCGAAGCAGTTCTCCGGCACTGACGCCGCTGTAGGTGAACTTGTCATTCAGCCATGGGGTTTCTCTGGTATCGCGAACAACAAGCCCCTCTCACGAGGCACCATCACACTCAACAACACACATCCTGCCGCCTATCCGATCGTCCAATGGAACACGTTCCAGAACCCTGTTGATGCAGATGTTATGGTAGCCCTTACACGATACAACCGCGCACACTGGGCATCCAAGGAACTGGCACAATACAAGCCGGTGGAGACAGCTCCTGGCCCTCAGTACCAAACCGATGAGGAGATCATCCAGGGCGGTGTTGCCTCGGGCTCACTACAACCGACATTCGCGCACCCCAGTGGTGGCTGCAGTATGATGCCTGAGGGGCTTGGCGGTTGTGTAAGTGATGAATTGCTGGTGTATGGAGTCAAGGGGTTGAGTGTTGTGGACGCAAGTATCATTCCGATGATTCCTGCGACGCATCTACAGGCCACTATGTACGCGATTGCGGAGAAGGCTGCGGATATCATCAAGAAGAGGGCATAGAATAAGGGTAGCTGATACGTAACCGAAAATATATTTACTCATGCCTTACAGTGAGCTTTCAAACTACATTCGTAAAGAGACCCAATGTTTGACTTAGGACCGACCGTCTTTAGGGTTTGATAAAGTCCGATTTCGCTTCCGCACATATGATCTCCACCGCTTTCTCAGCGAAAGCGTAGACGGCTGTCAAGATGTTCCCTCGTGGTATAATCGGCAAAACACTAGCGTCGCAAACCCTCACATTCTTCGTCCCATACACTGTCAGCCGTTCGTTAACAACGCCCCCTAGTTCTTCCTTCATCATCGAGCAAGTGCTAGATGGATGATAGTTCGTTGCTGAGTTGATAGGAAGGATACCCTTCGCATCGTCAAGCGATGTTACCGGGTGAGGGAAACTTCGAGGCAGCCGCCTTCCGTTCGGCTTTGCCATGGCCGTAAAGACAGGCTTCTGGAAAAGCCTCTCAATGAGACGGAGATGGCGGGCGAAGATTTCTACATCAAGTGGATGCGACAAGTAGTTGAACTTGATCTCTGGCTTGAGTGAAGGATCAGGAGAGATATGACAGCTTCCGCGCGAGAAGGGATGCGCCAACATGGCAACAACGGTTATGTAGTTGCCATCGACCACAGATGGTGTGTTTGGAGGCATTGATTCTTGGTCTCTGTGACGCTGTGAACGCAGCATGAATGTGGTGGCTGTTGCTTCGCTCGGACTTTCGACGGCTTCTTGGATGACAGAATACTGGGCTTTTAGACTTGTGTTACTCTCTGCTTCCACGGAATGTTTGACCATTGTAACGAGCTCCTCCGTCTCTGACTGGGTTTCCAGTAACTGCAGTGGTGTAAAGGCGAAACTGTATGCTCCTCCCTCCGCCAGTCGACCCGTGCGACTTTTCCCGTACTCCTCCATTGCAGCCCTCTGCACCACGGGGTCTCGTAATCCATCGTCACGAGTTGGAGTGTCGTCCTCAGCTTCGATGGACAGACCGCAGTTCAGATGGTCCTGCAGGTTCTCGCCGACGCCAGCAAGCTCGTATAACAACGGGACATTCGCGGCTGCGAGGACGTCTTTGGATCCAATACTTGATCGTTCCAATAGCGCAGGAGACTCGAATACGCCTGCGCAGAGGATAATTTCTCGACCATCAATCAGATACTCCTCGCCTTCGTGTGTGAAGTGAACGCCCGTGGCATTGAGTTTGCCTTCGGCGGTCAACGCCTCGTCAAAAGCGATCTTGTCGACCTTTATGCCAGTTCTCATTACCACATTTCCCCGTTTCAAGGCGGGCTCTAGGAATGCTTGACCTGCATGGCTTCGCTCACCTTTCGATGAATCGATCGCATTGGTGACAGTGACTGCGCCGGCATTGCTCTCGGCAAATCCTGTAGTGCCCGTCGGATGGCCTAGCTCCTCAAAGACTTCCAACCAGCGAGATTGGAGAAAGTCCATGGTACGCGGGTATGATGTCTTTATGCCATCGTCCACTTTGGGGTCGAGATGTTCTGCCTGCCATCGGCTGTAGCAATCTCCCATGCTCTTTGCGCCCCATACTTCTTTTCCCGGGTCCGACAAGAGCTCGTTCGCGATACGGTCATGCCATTCGTGATTGGGAAACACCACACTGTGACTGTTGATCGCACTGGTTCCACCAACCAGCTTCCCTCTCGGATGCTTCACCCTCCTGTTGTTCAGACCCGGCTCTGGCGCGGAGATGTATTGCCAATCGTACTCAGATGACATCAGCCTCGCCGATAGCCCAGGCGTTTGGACTATGGCGTCGTCGCGGACATGTTCTCCGGCTTCCAGAACGAGGATTCGGCGATCGGGCAGCCGCTGCGAGAGACGTGACGCGATCAAGCATGCCGCTGATCCAGCTCCTACGAGAATGAAGTCGAATGTCTCGGCTTCTGCGGTATGGTCTCTGCCCGGCATTGTTAGAGGAAAGATGGCGGATGTTGAGAGATGGAAAGCTTGAGATCGCACAGCCAACTACGACCACCCTCATAATAATGCTGAGCATTGCGCCCTGATTAAACGACAGATAAGCACTACAGTATACTAGCAGGTTTAGGTAGGTGTAAATGGAAATCACCGAGCCTCGTGCGCGTCTGGCGCTTGTGCCATTCGTTCAAGAGGAGCCTAGGCCCCCAGATCCGCTGCTTCAGTAGTAGTGCGTACAATTCCCGTTAATGTACCCGTCGGATCAGGCCACTATTGGTAGCCAAAAAAGAATGTGTACTGATAGCCTGCATCTAGAACCAAGACTACACGTCTGAGATGTCATGAGAGGCGGACCTTGCGGGGTTAACGGTAACGGCGTGAAAATCAGGGTCCACGGCAGCACGTGGGCCGCGGCTCCCACGTGTGGGTGACAGCGGCAGGTGCAAAACTAATCGCAACTTATAGCCGTGATAGAAGATGCAAAAGCCAGACCTGAACATAGACGGCACCATAGCCTCTGCACAGCAATTGGTTGGAATACGTAAAGTACCTCGATATCCAATTGTTGTGTGTGCAGGCATGGCCTACCAACATTGCCCACATGATCACGCCTGATGTACTGTGTCTCTGCGGTGTCGTCGAGTATGACGAATGCCCTCGTATATATTGCTCCACCAACATTGATGCGCAAGCAGTGTTGATTCTGTGAACGACAGCCTATCCACCCAGGTATCATCGGCGGTTGCAGGGATAGAGGCTTGAAAGAGGTGCGAGGCCACTGGCAGTGGGAGGGGATCGCTCGAAACGAAGGAGTCGTCTTTGTTGTTGGCGCCTTTGCGTACTGATATATTTGGTGACGATAGTCGTTAGGAAGCTTGTCGGGTATGGCCGGTAAGAGGTTGGACGTCACAGGCTCGACCTAGGCGCATCAGCTCGTCCAGCCAGGCTGGGTGCGCGTTGAAGTCGTGCGGGTCTGGCTCGAGCAAGGCCCATACATTGCGCAGGTTGATGCTTCATGGTGGAAGTATCTGTTCCCCGAGGCAAGCAAAGGGATGTCTTTGGCCATGGGCGTAGGGCGTGTATTGTGGTGAGGAAGCAATCGTTGTCGTAAGGGGAGCCGCCTGGGCGGAGCGCGTTGGAAGCTATCAACGCGTTTGAGCACGGATCACATTAGGTATATGTACCAACACCAACCATTATTTATGGCGTTCATTAATTCTCAGACTTTTCGCATCGTTCAATCAATGACCGCAACATATACAACACAGAAAAGCCATCAGTTTCTACACCGACTTGGTCGCAATTCCTTTCCATTCCTGAAAATGTAACACATGAAGAGACGCAAATCGCATTCTATGTACGGCCCATGGCGGCTTGATGGTAGGCGCTCTTCTTTCTGATGGTCGGCCCATAGCGATAGAAGATCCACGGGATGGGCGCCATAGCCGTGGCGACGAAAGCCAACAGACTAGTTCCCCACGGTACACCCAAGCTCTCATACAACCGTTTCGAGAAGAGCGGAAATGCTGCACCAAAGAGTCGGCACAGAAGTCCATTTGCAGCAAGGGCGCTTGCCCCGTATATACCATAGCAATCGGTAAGATACGCAGCAATATCCAGAAAAGCCGTCAGAAGACCGATACCTAGCGGAACCCCAGCCAGAATGGGCACAACAGCCGGCACAGACGCTGTTGCCGTCCACGCGAACCAGAAGAGCCCAATAGGTGTTAGCCATGTGAAAGCTATCTGCAGTGAGAAGCGTGCTTCAGGCTGCGGACCTAGTCTGCACACAAAATGTGTATGAGCGCGGTTCAGCAGAGGCGATAGTATGGTTGGAAGAGCCATTCCCATTGCCAGCCCTGTGTATCCAACGCTCATCTTGGCGGTTGACCAGCCTCTGTATTCCTTATAGACGATGGGATAGGCGACGAGTACGAGACACATGATTCCGTATAGGAATGCCATGTACGTTGACAAGGCCCACACGATGGGCTCGGTGAAGAGCATAACCCATGGACGAACCAGGTTATCGCGCGCGCGCTTTTTCCAGTCAACGTTCGAGAGGTTGCCGCCAGCTTTGATTTGCTTCACGCGGACTAGTTGTGGAGCGTATGTTTCTGGGAGAAAGAGAAGGGCGCAGATGTAGGTTATGCCGCCGAGGATCATAGAAGTCCAATAGCCCCTTGAGGTACTGTTAGACGTCTTTTCGAAACATTGGTAGAAGGAGGAGCTGTTTACCATTGCCACGACGCGTACTGTGTTATCGGTCCGCCGCAAATTGGACCGATCACAAAACCCAAGAAACTTGCTGCCGTGAAAAGAGCGAGTGGGACAGCTCGTTCGTGAGGAGCCCACATGTCAGTGAGGGACCCGGCTGTGTTGGTGACTGCAGGAATTTAGCACAGTATGAGTATCCTTTCCCTATATTTGATTCCGTACCTGTCGGCGCTCCCAAGAGACCTCCCAGGAAGCGGAAGAACAACAGTGTCTCGATGTTAGGCGCTAGCGCATCTCCGATATTGGATATAACAAAGAGTCCAAACGCGACTCTGAGAATCGGATTCCGTCCCAGCATCTCAGACAACGGTGCGAAGAAGAGAGGTCCAATGGAAAATCCGAGCAGGAAGAATGACACTGCAGACGTGGACGCGAGTACCGAACATCCATAGAAATCTGCGACCGCCTGAATAGAGGCAGCATGCACCCCGGAGTAGTAACCCATCGTTGCGGACATCATAATCACGATGATAGACAAGGGCCATTTGCGCATTGCCGACCAGTTGAGCGGGTTTTCATCGCCGACCAAAGCCTGTGAACTGGCTCTCTCAAGGGCAGTGCTGTGAGTCGAGACATACGAGTCCGCTGAAATAGGCAAAGGTGGTTTAGACTCCATGATGATGAGAGTGAGCGAGACGATGTGCGCTGAGCATCTTCGTCACGATTTTGAAGGACAAAGTAAAAAGATGCAAAGCAAACGAACCTCAGTGTTGGGGGCACAGTGAACGTGCGATTTCGCGCACGGGCATCGCACGTCATCGCAACGGGTGCCTATTGTCGC